TCAAGATTTTTTTTTCTTTTTTTTTTTAAATGGTTCCTTTTTTTGCTTCTATCAATGATGATTTGGGTTGTCAGGGTCAGGCCAGAAAGGGGAGTACTTCATCCATTCTGCTGCTTCTTGAGGGTTATTTCCCATGCTTGACTCCTGCAAATACACAATACCAATATATTAAAATTAGGGTTTCATGTACTCTTATAATTTCCAAATTAAATTCCATTTCTGCCCAGGAAATAATAATTCTATCTCTATATAAATCATATTCTTCGTCACGAGAGTGTGCTAATGTAGACTTAATTCATTGGCTAAGATACCTCTACTTCTATTCAATGCCTAAAAACCGAAAGGGAAAGACGTACGAAAGTTGATACAAATTCAATATTAAAATATCCCTCGACTTAAAAGCTATTGCTTAGGCTACAAAATTAATAAAGTAAAAGAAATCTCCAATATTATTATAAACTCTAAAACACAATTCATATATCCTACAAAATCAGAGACATTCTTAATTTTAAAAAATGACAAAGTTGGAGATCCACCAAAACCCCAAAAATGGGAATGTTTAATTAACTTATGATATTAAGCAAAACTTCTGCCATTAAAGAAATGAAAACAAAAAGGACACCCACTATGGCTAGCAAAAGGAAGTTGAGATTTGTATTTCAAATTTTCAACTTTCTTTTTTTAATGGTTTTGAGGGAGCTGTTCCATTCCAAATTAAATGAAGCAGAATATATTCTCTTGTCTGGAGTTTGAGTTTTGCTTTTTCTATATCATAAAATAAAACACTAAAACTTAGATTCTAAGAAGAAAACTATAATAAAAGAAGAGATAAAAGAGAAAAAGGATGGCTGTTTCCATACCCTTTAATTCAAAATATAATACCAATAAAGAATTTGGTTTCTTTCCCTCTTTCTTTTATTCTATTTTATTTTGTTTCTCCTCAGCTTCCTTTTACATAAATATTCCTTCCCTCTATTTTTTAATATAATTAAGGTATCTTTTACATTCCTCATTTAATTTTTTCTTTTCCTTTTTCGAGTTCGAGTGAGATTCCAAGTTACTAAAACCTTAACCAATCGGGTATTATTAGGCAATTTTAGAATTGAAGTTTGAATTTAGAAACTTACTTCTTTGATATTAGATGAAGTGCAGCCCATAATGAGTTCTTCCAAACCAGAAGCAGACCTCCCTCCAATCTTATGATGATGTTGCTGCTGTTGTTCTTGCTGCTGTTGATGTTGCTGTAAAGAAAAAACCATAATCTTCTCTCACTTTTTTTCCTCTTCTCTCTTTCCTTAAAGCTTATAATATTCGAAAGTGAAAAGGGTTGTACGGTGACATATCTTTGTAAGTTTTCAGCTAAATTAACACCATATACGTACCTGAAAGCTTTCATTTTGCAGCATTAATGGAGAGACGCGGTACGAGTCGTGGTCGAGAATGATCGAGGAGTGGTGGAGCGGAGGCGGACAGATGATTGTGGAGATTGGATTCGAAGGACGGGTGACTTGAAAGGCAGTGGTCGCCATCGGATGGTGTTGGTGCTGCCGTTGCAAGTGGCGGTGGTGGTGGTGATGATCTCCAATCTCTTCGTTCGGAGTAGTTGCTCTTGCAGTTGAAGCCTCTCCAATCCCAACCTATGCATAGCTCAATTAGTTAATGCGTATATCATGACCAAAAATTATTGAAATCTCCATCTCATAATTCGTTAAACTAAAAAAACAACCAATTATTTAATTAATTTGCAAGCTTTTTTTTAATTATTATTTTCTTTGTTGTTTATGTTGTTTTCTAATGCTATTGTTTTGTCAATTTAACGTTACTATTTGGTGGGTAAGCAAGTCATATTTAGTTAGATGACAATTATAATGTTCCTAATAACTCAAATAAGGGCCAAGAAATTATGCTGCAAATGCAAGCAAAATGGGGTATCAGAAAACCTTACATGAAAAACTTTCCAAATTTGATTTCTTACTCTTTAAATTATTATTAAATCATAAAGATCTTAATTTGTTTCTAATTGGCCATATTCCAACCATACATTTATTTTGTCCTAATTATGGGATCATCCTCATTTTCTAATTCCTAAATAACTCTTTCCTTATATATTTCATTTTTCTTTCTCATGAAATATTTAATTCTTTCGGGTCAATCGACTTATTAAAACACAAATAATCTTTACCATCATTATTCTCACCCTTTTGTTTAAACTATAAAAATTTTAATTAAAAAATATGGAGGTTAAGAAATTAACTCTTGGCAAAACTTTTGTTCTCTTAAATATACTCAATACCTACGCATAAGTCAATGAATTAAAATGTTAATTACTTGAAATTCTCATATTTACCCTCGTTTGAACTCAAAAAAATAAAAAAATAAAAAATTTTGTTCCCTTTCAGATTGTTTTGAAAAAAAAAACAATAAGCTTATCAATTAAATTAACAAAAAAAAACACATTAGTGACAAAAATAAATAAATAAAAATGTTTGTTTCATTGGAAACAAAAAAGAAGTTAAAAAATGGAATAAGGTATAGAACGTGCATGGAATTAAAATACGAACCTCGTCGAAGCTTCTTCTAAACGGAGCAAAGCTAAAATGATCCGCTTTGAATTGATGAATATGCTCCAATCCGCCGTAATTAGAAATATGCGGCGGAGGACAAAGCCCTCCTCCGCCGCCGCCGCCGGCCACGGGGGACATCTCGTCTCTGTGGGTTGGCATCTCCCGAGAAGACGAACAACTCCCACTCCCACTCTCCCTTCTACTACTAAGAACAACATTAATGTCGGTGGTGGTGGCTTCGCCGGCGCCGGCGCCGGCGGCCTTCTCCGACGACCAGTTGCACTGACGTGGCTGAGTCTGGTAAAAAATCTTGGAAACCACGAGCTCGCCTTCTTTCTCCTCCTCGTGCTGCCCCAAATGGTATTGGTGCATCACCCAGTTGGTTTTTTCGGGTTTTCGGTTTTTTCCAAAGTTGGTATAAAGAACCAAGATTTTTTTGCAGCCCTTTTGGCGGCCGTTCACCATCACCGGCCGGGTTTTCCCCGTCTTGTGCCACCGCGTTTCGCCGCCGCCTCCGAAGTCGCATTCGGTTTGAATTTTCCTTCGCTTTCTTGTCCCTGTGGTGTAAGCTTTGGATGGCCTATGGAAGAAATGTCTGCTCAACCCATCTCTTGTAACTCCTGCCACCCATAACAAAAACAACCACCAGATTATTTCAAAATTCCCCCTTTTTTTTCTTTTTTTTAATATTACGTCACAAATACGAAAAATCTCATTTGAGATCTCATTTGAGAGACTCGAACAGATTCTATGTACCACTATTAGATACACGAGAGAATTTAAAATTTGTTTTTCAAACAAATGATTATTTAGATTGGATAGATTTTAAAACAGCCTAAATCAAACACTTTCAGGATACAGCCACATTGAATAATTGTTTCATAAATACAAAAAAAAAAAGAGATATTTGAACTTAAAACCAAGTCAAAATGGCAAATCATTTTTTTTTCAATTTAATAAATGTAGGAGTGAAAATTGAAACTTCCTTAAAGGAATAGAAGTAAGTATAGTCGAGAATATAAATTTTTTTTTTTAGAATCAAAGATTTAGCAAAATTCCAAGTTGGTTGGCTTAGGTGCAACCATATTAATGCAAAAATGGGGTTTCTCCTAAAGTCATATCCAACTTGAAAGGAAGAACAAATAAAAAAAAATATATGTATAAGGTAAGCAATATTAGAGGCAATTGTTTTTTGAAATTTGAGAAGAGAAATTCAAATTTTTGATGAATTAATAATTATAAAGAAAGCTAAACTGAGAACCTGGAAGCTTTTCAGGATGGGTATAACAAATCCCATCTTCTCCTTGAATTGTAGGAATGAACTCATCAATCAGAGGGTGAGACTTATTCTTCTCATCCTCTTTCCCTTCCACTTTTGCTTCCAAATGTTCTATCAGTTCTTGGTCTGTTGGGTCAAATTTCACTCCTGCTGGTAGACCTAACCAATCCTACAATACACATAATAACAATAATAATAATAATAAAATTAAAAAATTAAAATCGTATATCTCAGAGCAGGAGATTCTGTATTAGTTACCGGCTTGGCTTCGAGCTTGTGGCCGCAACCCGGGCACTGCTTGGATCCGCACTTGCGATGCTCCTCAAGCTTGGCATCTATGAGATCGGAGCTGGTGACGGAGGCGGTGGACCCCCCTAGATTGCTCTTCATACTCATGCTCACCCAAACGTCCTCCTCCTCTAGCTAATTTGCTGTGATTAAGATCTCCACGACGTCGTTTTGGAGGAGCAGTAGCAGCCGACTTTTCATATCCACGCCTGATCAATTAATTAATTGAAGAAGAAGAAGAAGGCCTCAAAATTAATCTACAACAAATTAACAAAACTTGCGTGTCATTAAATATTTTTCAAGAAAAAGAAAAAGAGGTGTTGAAATTGAAGCAAAAACTCACACGAGAGAGAGAGAGAGAGAGAGAGAGAAGAGAGGAAGAAGAAGAAGAAGAAGAGAGAAACGAAAAGAAAAGAAAAAAACCAGAATTTGCTCTCAACTTTAACTGAAGGAAGAGAGAGAGAGAGGGGAAAAGGAAAAGGGGTGAGGGTTCAAAACCTGAGCTTTAAGGGTTTTGGGGTAATTTTATTTTATTTGAGGGAGAGGGAAGAAGAAAGAAATGATATTATGTAGGCGGTTTGTGGGAAAAAGGGAACCACCAAAGAGACATACAGCAACCAAAAACCAAACTTGATTTTTCTCTTGTTTTGAACCTTGACTCACTACAAAAAGCCAAAACGGAAAACGCCCTAATTCTCACACCTACCTCTACCTCTATCTCTACTCTCACTCCAGGCCCAATTACTACACCACTATCACTCCCGACCAAAATGAGTATAGTTCGATGATAATTAACATATATTTCTAATTAAAAAGTTGTAAGTTCGATTTCTCATTTCCGTGTTATTTTTATATAAATAAATACTATCATTCTCACCGTTATTGGTTTCTTTTCCTTTTGTTAGCCCACACCCACGTCTCCATTTTCACTCATTTTTTTCAATTTAGTCTTCGTGGTTTATAAAGTTTTAGATTTGATTCTTATGTCCTTTTACATTTTTGTTGTTGATTTTGTGATTCTTATGTTCTTTTACATTTTTGTTGTTGATTTTATGATAAACTTACCTAATATGGTAGCTAATGTGTTATTAAATAGTTTAGAGGAAGAAATAGACCGAGAAGTTTCTAATTTCTCTTGTAAAAATTTTTAAATTAGAGTTGGAAATTAGAGTTTTCTTCTTTGAATTTATCTCAACTCACTAAATAGAACAACAGTTAGATGCCTAGTGGTTGGGCATCTATCTTCGTAACAACTATTAAATATTTGACTGTTTTTAGTTTTTTAAAAAATAATAAAAATATTTCATTTTCTATATTTCTCTCTTCTCAGAAATTGGTGAGCACAAACGAACATATAGGATAGATAGATTTGGGAGATGAAGATGGAAACAAACCGCTACCAACTTCAAGTGATAAACCTATACGTGGCAAAACCTAGCTTTGAGTACAAACTCAGATTATTCTGAGGAAAAATTATGAAAATATTACTACACCCCACCTTTTTTTTTCCTTTTCTTTTCTTTTTTTTTTCTTTTTTAACATTTTGCATGACTGTTTCACTTTTCAAGCCTATATTTCTTCATGTGGAAACCCTAGAGAGAGAGAGAGAGAGAGAGAGAGGAAACTCACATGGGTACTCAGCTGTGTGGTGCTGCTCATAATGCTTTTTAGCCATGAATGTTGCAGAGAGAGAGAGAAATATAGAAGGAGGTTGCTTGATATGCAAGGCAACAATGAGCGATGGACCACCACCACACCACCCCTTTTAATTACACATTTAATAATCATATCAACATAATTAATCCGAAATTTCAAAAATGAGGATTATATTAATTAGGGTTTGAGTGAAAACTGTGGACAGGCAAAGGGGGTGGAGCCCACAGGATATGACGTGGTCCAAGATTGGGGAAATCTTGTGGCCCACAAAAGCAATTTCATCAGATCATTGTGTTAGTCTTCACGTTTATAACATATACTCTTTCCTTTGCCCCTTTGGGCTCTGATTATCAGTCAACAACCAAATCATGATCATCAAACCCCTCTCTCTTAAATGATGCGTTCCCCTCCCCATGCCTTCCTCATTTTGTCTCGCATCCCTTTTCTTTCTTTCATTTTCTTTATATATTTCTTCTCAGGGACTACTCCATTTTCTTGTAGTTTAATTTGGTCAAACTACGAAGACTTGTGTGAGCATTCTCGTTTTCGCCTACTCGAAACAATGGGTGTGGTCGAGATCTGTACTTGATTTGATTAGCAGGGTTAAGAAAACTTGAATGCTAGGTGAATTCATTCATTTTTCTTCATGGTGTAGAAAGAATCATTTTAGGTGGCTATAGAGATATAAAGGGAGATAAAAGGAAAATGAGAGTTCTTAATTACGACAAATTAGCCCAGCGTCAAGCTCTTACAAAAAGAGGAGAATAAATCAGTGATCCATCAAAATATATGTCATTAGCTTGAAACGACACTACCATGTATTTGCATTTGAAAGACTCAAGTTAACAGAATTTTATTTTTGGCCTTATTGGTAGATCTTTTTCTTTTTCCACGTGGGAACGAGATTTCTCCATTTATATATATATAAGAACAAACTCACATTTCTCGAGATATGTACATTATGTTGGCATAAAACAAAGGAAACTTTATATTCACCAATCGTTTGAGGTTTAATTTTCATGCAACATACAACTTGTTAAACACCATAACAATGTTAGTTAGAGCAATTTGAATACGATCCTTAATTGTTTTAACATGTTGGTACCAAGATAATTGCTCTTTTCTTTCCATCCATATCTGTTGATTTCTTCATATATCTCATCTAAAACGCTTGTTTCATTCATCCCAAGCCTTCTCTGTCAACTAAAAATGAACTCAATTTCTTTATGTGAAGAAAAAACTCTCTTTCGTGAAGTTCGATTTGTCATATATATATATATTAATCTTAAAAGAAAGGAATATAAATATAATAGGGTGGCTATCTCATGTCATAAGAAGCTACTCAACTAATAATATATTTTATTAACGGAAAATAAATCAACAAGACCAAAATGTTTTTATCAAAGAAATGAGTCAAAAAGAAGACAAATGTAAAGCTAACGCACTTGGGCGCTACAACTAAGCATAACAACCTATGGTCGGGAAAAGGCTCTAAAGCCCCTACTCCTAGCTAACTTGGGTAACAATAACTCTAATTCCACTTTTTGTTTCTTTCGCCGTAGTCTATATGACTTCCTTTTGTTGGCATTTTAGCTCCTATATTTTTTTGTAGACATCAATAGACTACCTTTTGTTGGCATTTTAGCTCCTATATTTTTCTGTAGACATCAATTTAAACACCAACGTAAGCATTCTAGAACTCAAGTGACATACGTCACATTTAAAACTAACATGGTGTCGCTTCAACCTTGTACATATCAACATGGCACACAACTTCCACACGATATCATATCATATATAAGCTTTTGGTTAGGATCATTACTATCATAAACCAAAATGGTATAAGTGTAATGACCGACCAAAATATGTGGGGGACCAGAATAATATCTAACTTAAAACTAAATATAAATGAATCGAAACCAAGAACTATCTTTAAACATAAATTACCAGAAATGAGCAGTAGTATATATTCTCGGTAAAGACCTAAGTGGATAATACCCTATTTACATATGGCTTGTCACATTATCCTTTTCTGGTTGACATTGACAAATCAAGAGCAGTGGACCCACATAACATTGGCTTTATCGCACCAGGCAATAGGCATATATACTTCCTTAAATATTTCCTTCTTCCTGTGTTATGAATCTAATAATTATAACAAAACATACTTATACACATGCGTATATACATTATACGTTCACATGTAAAATTAAAAAAAATAAAAAAATGCAAAAGGACAGATCTAGAAACTAAGATCAAAATGAAGGCCATCAAAAGATATATTTTAGGCAAAGATTCCAAATCATTAGTTTTGATACTGATATCTGTGCATGCAGAAAATGAATCAAGGAATATGAAGCTAGAAGTTTTCGATTATGCATGAATTTATTATATCCATCTTGAAGTTATTGGAGCATCTTTCAAGAAAGAAATATACACTTTTTCAAGCAACTCGTACAGTACCTTTAGGAGAATAATACCTCGCATGTATCCAACCAATCCTTTAGTAGAGATCTGAGTAACTGAAAATGAAAAAAAGAAAAGAAAAGAAAGGAAAAGAAGAAAAGCTCTGAATAACGAATAAACTGTGCACTAAACTCAAATCTTCTGCCACAAAGTTGCAATTTCTCTAAAGTTAATTGTGTCTAAAAAAGCATATCTAAAATTGACCGTTCAAACTAACAAAGTAGGTACCCAGCTCAGCTATAACTCTTACTATACTTTAAAAAGAACTGATGTAACTTAAAAATGCACAAAATCTCACGCATGTGTTTCAAACAGAGAACTTTATTAACAAGGTAAAAAACCAACTCAGATTGTTGCTCACAAGGCAGATTACAATGCTCCGTAAGAATATTTCTTCAAAATACAAACATCCTGAAATTGCTTTCAGAACATGGACTTTCTTCAAAATGGGACTGTTAACTAAAAATACATCTCTATTAGATAGAAGGAATAAAACATACCATCAATAGAGATCGGGTAATGACATAAAGGTGCTGGCTCAAATTTACCAATTATTGAGTTAAACTGGACCTTAATGCTTTTTCTTATTTTCAAAAGACAGGGTGACCATGCAAGGCTCAAGATAGCAATTTTTATGTTCCGTGCAAGACTATAGTTTGAATCAACAAATGCGATTTGTCACTTTGACTTGAACTTGCTGCTGACAGAATCATAGCTTGGAACATGAATAACTGCAGAACAATATATAAAGAAATAATTACATAAAGTCATCTAATTAACCAGATCTTTTTTCTGTAGGAATGAAGATAAACAGATATCATGAGGTTCTCATTGAGCATGAGATAAGTACCATCGCCATATGAAGCCATTGTCAATGGAGAAGAGAGAAGTCTTTGTGCAGTTGAAGCAATATCCTTCAGAGTTAATTCGTCCACAGCTTTCAAGAAATATTCCACAGGTTTCCTATATAATGGCGTACATTAAAATGAGCACGGCCTAGAAGTCAGATCACCATTGTAATTACAAAGCTCACCTCGCAATTGAAAGGTAATCACTTCACATGCTAAACCATTTTTATACTTGCAACTTTTAATAGCTCTAAAGAAGTAAAAACTCTTTAACTATGACCAGATTCTGTATTGCCTTTAATCAGCCTAGATACTGCGGACATACGACCATGGAACAGAATGCACTTAAATGAGTAACAACAAACCACATCCTGATAAATCTTAAATCTTTAAAATGGATTCACCCTCCTAATACAGAAGGAAACAATTTAGAAATGAATGGGTCTTGATGCGTCAGATTCAGAGTACAATAAGTAATTTAGACCATACCGTTCACCATATGTCAAAACTTGTCGGCCTATATCCTCTGAAGCAACCACCTACACAAAATACAGCTCCACAATAGTGAACGCATCCTCAAAGATCAACATTTTCAAATGCTATAATATTTTTTATTTCATCAACCTAAGACACAGTATGGTAAGCCAACAGGAAGAAAAAGATAATCATACGTACTCTGGATTCCAAATTCATTAGCATAGCTGACTTTGTTGACTGTTTGGCACGATCTAGCTGAACCTGTTCAACTGTACACAAGGAACTGCTATCAGCAATCAAATTAGATATAATGGTTGTTCCAGAAATGTAGAGAAGAAAAATAATTATAAATTACCTTTTCCAGGCATTGCAATGGCTAAAAGTTCACTAGCTGCAATATCAAAGGCTTTTGGCACGAAATTAGAACCCTAACCAAAAAATATATGTATGTAAAGGGAGAAGTGAGAAATCTATCATCAAGAACAACATAGAGGTTTTGCATTATGCCAAGTTAAATATTTGTGGTCCATAACAACAACAAAATATCTGAAGTAGTTCATTACAGTAGTTGCTTGGATGCCAAATATGCCAGTGTTGTTGTAAATACTGCTGAATGCTGAAATTGACTGGACCTGTGGGTACTCATTTAAGACCTGAAGATCTACTCACCACATCAACAAATACCTAGAAGTTAAAACTAAAAAACACACGACATGGGTAAATTAAGCAATCTAAATGCAGAAAAAGGTTTACGTTTATCTAAAAACAATGGCCATCATAGTCGAAATTTAGGACTTACACAGCCGAGAGTACATCCCCTTTCCAGGTCCACCAGCTGAGAAGGACCCTCCACCTCCCATTAGCATCTAAGAGATATGAGATTTAATAAAGTTAAAAATGGATTAAGCAACAAATGGGTGCATGATCTAGACCAGAAGTGTCATAAAGATCACTTAACCACAATAGAATATTCATTGTAAAGACCTGAAGAACAGTTAAGGCCATAGCATCCTTCTCCTTACGCCAGCCACCCGGGAGTTCAAATGCAAGAGCAAAATGTGTCCTCCCATCCTGAAAGGGAGAGAACATTTAACAAACACCTCGGTATAAAGACTGGATACTAGAGTATACAGTATTGAAGATACGCACCCCAGAATCACCTTGATGACGATAATCACCCCCATTGTACACTGATTTTGGCTCCTCACGAGGAACACTTGGAAGGTCAGATAGAAGTGGTTCGGCGATGGATAATAGTTCCTCATGTTCAACACCAGATGCTGCAAGTACTATGCGAGATGCAGAATAGTTTTCCTGAAGACAGAAGCGTGACCAATAAATAAATAACATCATTGAATAATTATTAATAAGAGAAAATATGATATAATAAACTCCCATTCAACTTACAGAAACAAATTTCTCCAAAATTGGACCACCCAAACTATTTATAGCAGACTCGGAGGCTAAAAGAGAATTTGCCAAGGCACCAGAATAACCAGCAGCATGAACAGCTTCCAAAAGAAACCCATGCGGGTTGTTGGAAGCTTCAACAATCTCATCTTTTACCCGTGAAAGCTGTATAACACAAACTTCAATCACTCAATAATTTGGAAATTCGTGGACTAGGTATTAATAATAATCATAATGCAAAAAATCCCAAGAGACCTGCTCATTGACCTCCCAGTCAAGAAAAACAGGATTCCTAACACAGTCAATAAGCAGCTCCACCATTTCAGGGACATATGACTTCAAAGCATTGAAGGTGTAGCCCATCTGCTCTCTAGCAGCTGAGGCCAGCACATTGCCACCGATTGCCTCCACCTCCCGCACAACACGTAAGTGACTACGATTTCTTGTGCTTTTAAAGGCCATACGCTCCAGCAGATGTGTAGAACCAAAAGTTTCTGGAGTCTCATAAATTGAACCACAATCAACATATAGACCTATTGATGCTGCAGGGTTCTGCATTGAACAAATACAAGTTCAATTCCCTTTGTAAGAGGAACACGAGCAAGCCAAATACAGAGAGCCACATATCTACATACACGTGGCTTCCAGTCTTACCGATGATGTTTCAGATGCTACTTTTACACCATTTGGCAGAGTTGTGATCTTGGTCTTACCAGGTTCGACATAATCTGGCAATGGAGGCGGAAGGTTCACATCCGACAGAGGAAATTCTAATGGAGGCAATGTAGAATTGCCTCCAAACAACCAGCCAAAGAGGCCCCCAGAAGATGAGTGCTTTGAGGCAACGGCACTTGAACTTGCAAATCTGTATAGTCCATTGTGTGCGTGCCCCTGAACCTGAAGTAATGGTTTGAAAGCAAAATTACCATCATTATCCACCAAAGCATTTGATTCCTGAGGTCTAATGTAGACAGTTAATATAAAGTGAGTAAGAAGTGATATTTGAGAGATTTAAACTGCTTGGAGAATAAAATTAGATCCCTTGATATCATGTTAGACTCAAAAACTAGATATACAAACGCGTCTCCGCAAAGCGTTTACACCATGCACAGTGCGGTTTCCACTGATTTAATCAATGATAAAGATGAGCGTTTTTTGTACTATTATTAACCGACTGGCAATAAAGAATAAGCCATCAAAAACTAAATAATTTCAAATAGCCGCTAACTTATTGACACTCAAGCTATAAAAAGTCACAACAATTAAATTAATAACCTAGCAGCTCAATGTGCTGAACATATGGCTTCGACGCTATCGTTGTCTCCATAGAGTATATAAACACTCTCTCTCGTTCCAATCCGGTGTCTTTCCAGTTGAAATTCAACGAAGCAAACTGTGAATTACAACGTTGAGTTCGAGAAAACAGACAAACTTCCAGAAAAACGAATTCGGATCCATAACTAAAGAAATTGACATGTAAAAACCAAATCATCGGGGAAAAAGAATCATATACTAGTCCGTTCGCTTGCGTGCAAAATCAAAGAGGTCAACGAGGCGTTTTCGAGCGCGGATCAAGTTTACTAACCTTCAGAGACCTGATTCGTGAAGTTGCAACTCTGTACATGATGATCGAGAAATATCTCTTCGCAGCGCTTGGGCCGTGAGCGTCAATCGGCCTTTATGCCCAAAGTTTTGGAATTCACGCAGACCAGGAAAGGTCTACTGTACGATACGGGATGTAGACACGTGTGATGATCGAATTCTACCACGTGTCTGTACAAAATATTTTAGTTACTCATAAAAGAAAATACTTAACTAAAATTACCATTGAAAATTTGACACTCATTGTATTAACAAAAATTAATCTTTTTGGATTTCCTTCTCTTAATATTTTTCTAATATAAATTCTATTTAACACTAGTTATTGACAAAAAAGCAAAAGAAAATTTTTAATCTCGAAACAAATATTTTTTACATTTTCATTTCTCTAAATTTCCATGTCCACTAAACTAGCGAATTAGCTTTTAAATTATGTTAAAACTTTCATAAACTGCTTCATATTGTTATTAAGATAATATTCACTTTTGTTTTATAAATTTTTTCAAAACTTAACTAATATTTTTACTTGGATGAGATTTTATTGAAAATTTTGGATATTAATATCCCAACAAAGAAAACGCACCTATCACCTATCACCTATTATTGTTTTAAAATATGAGTGATTTCTGCGATAACAATAGTATTTTTCGCTATATTAAAATCACTTTCAAACATACTATGTCCAAACTAGTAAGATTTGTACCACTTGTACAGATTCTTCAATTTCTTTAGAAGCTCAAAAGTAAGAACCAATCATTTACTTTTCATACTACATGAATGACTAGAAATCGCAATATTGAATGATATTGGGGAAAGAGATTCTCAAAGAAAACTCATTTTTCTTCTGTTTCTCCCAAGTGAAAGGAAGTGACTCTAAAATTGATGCACCTTTCTCTTCAAACAGTGAGCTGCCATGTAGAAAATATTCAAACTGATCATTCAACCAAAGACAGAGAGATGGCTATGTGTAATTTAAGAACAGCCCAATTATTCTATTCTTGTGCGAACTATAAACATTTTACATGGTCTATAAATCGGTACATGTACAAGAATAGACAACATTATATTACAGAGACAGATGGGAGTCGATCACAAACTGATGTCAGAGCCAAAGCATTTGCTTTCGCTTCTCTTCCCATTGTTCTTCAAAACAGAAGCCAGTAAACTAAACTGCCGCGGGAAACCCGTTCTTTCTCGGATCGCTGACCGCGGTAAGGAGACCAAAAAGGGTTTGGTTATTGGGTATCTTTCCTCCCTTTCGACCTGCATCAATGGTGTCTTTGAAGTTTTGAACTATGAGCTGAACCATGGCTCCTGCTATATTACTAACTACCACTTCATGACCCCTCTCTTCCAAAAATTGCTTCTTTTCCTCTGTAAGTTCGACGTGATCCCCATCCATGAATGTCAAATTTTCATATCTAACCACATTTGGGATTAACTGCAGAGAGAAAACAAGGCTAAGTTACAATGTGAACACTGTCTGTGACAAAAATTGTGTGTGGAAACAAGTAACGGACCTGATGATACACCCTCGAACTTTGAACTGCTGCTAAAGGTTGCAATCCGAGGGAGAAATAATTAAGAAAAACCTGAATTACTGCCGGAATTATCTTCATACCACCACTACCTCCAATAACCGCAATCAACTGGTCATCCTATGAAGGTTCCAACAACATTTCTATTGGTGATTATTGAAGATCGAAAGGAAAGCAGATTTTGATGCAAGCCCAGAATGTTAGGAACATATATAAACGAATAAATATACCAAAGTCGTGCATTTACCCCTGCAATGTCATTTTCTCCTCAATTGATACGTGAACTTAGTAAATTAAATTTATATTCAAAACCACAAATTAGTGAACGAAAAGCATACCTTTGTGACGATAAGAGGAGTCATGGAAGAGAGGGGCCTCTTGTTTGGCTGGATAAAATTGGCTGGAGCTGGAGGGAGTTTATCTGGAGATACATCAGTGGCTATAGAGAAGTCCCCCATCTCATTATTGAGAACGATTCCAGTAGAAGGTGAGAGAATGCCAGCCCCAAAGTGCTCATTTACAGTTGTTGTCAACGATACAGCATTTCTCTCTGCATCTACAATGCAAAAATGACTGGTTCCATGATCTCTTAGCTGACTCCACCTGATAATTGTGGGGGAAAAAAGAAAAGAAGTTGTCTCATTAATTTGAGTTCGTAGAACCAGTAGAACTTCCAAGCCAGCTATGTCTTGCCTTCTGCAGATACCTGTACAAATAGTAATCTGGAGGGAAAGTAGTGTTGTCGACTATTTTTTCCTGAATTTTCTTTGCAAATGACGGGTTAAGCATGTAGGAGACAGAATCGTTAATGTTTGAAAAACGAGGATCGCCCAAGTTCATTCGTTCAGCAAACATGTGCTTCAATGCTTCAATTAGGCGATGTAGGCCAAGACTTCCTTTAGTAGCAGCAGGATCATTATAGCTTTTGAAGATATTCATTACCTGTTTCACATTCAGAATAGATTCTCAAATCATTATTACTGTTAGAAAAAGGAATTCTAATCCAAAAACAAAAGTTCCCCTAGGAAATAGAGAGAGGACAGGACCATAGCAAATCCAAGTGTTCCACTTGAAGGAGGTGGCATGCCATGTACTGTGTAGCCTATTGCCTCTGTAGTGATTGCTTCAGTTATGTCCACTGTGTAGTTCCTCAAATCCTCCATGGACAAAATGCCACCGATTGCTCTCACATCCTTCACCAACTTCTCTCCAATGATTCCATTATAGAACGCTTCTGGCCCCTGATCTGCCACTGCCTCTAAACTCTTGCCTAGTTCAATGTTGTAGCAAGTGTCGCCTACCTGTAACAGGTCACCATTTGGTGCGTAAACTTGTCTCAAGCCAGGATCATTCAGGATTATGTTGGCACAGGAAACTAAGCCCTCCCCTAGAAAATGAGAAATCGCAAATCCATCTTTTGCAAGCTTTATAGCAGGTTCAATTAAGGACCTCCAAGGCAAACGGCCATATCTCAACCAAGCTTCATGGAGGCCAGCTATCTCTCCAGGGACTCCAATTGATAAGGGCCCAAATCTTTTGGCTGTCACATTGATTTCATACATACCCTGCCCATTGCCAAAGAGGTACATCTTACAAGTTTTGAAGAAGAGAAGGAGCTTAAAATTTTCACTCTCTTTTCTCCGTTGGTCTCACCCCTCCACATTCATCTTTTATACACTACTTTTGCCTGCTTGAACCAAATGGGTTGCAGGCCAAAAGAAATCCATTTATTTTACCAAAAGAGAGAGATTTTGAACCTGAGAAGCAGCCAAGGGTGCAGTTTCCCGAAAATCAAAAGCTATCGTCTGCCAAGTTGGCGAGGATCGTACAAGCATGAAACCTCCGCCTCCTATCCCACTCGACAGCGAACACACAACACCAAGGCACAATGCAGTTGCTACAGCAGCATCAACGGCATGCCCTCCCTGCCTAAGAATCGATGCCCCGATTTCAGAGCAGCGGCCATCATCAGCAGCAACAACTCCTTCCTCTGACTGAATAATTTCGGGATTTTCGAGATGTATTCCATCAAAGTGCTTGTTTTCTTCACGAAATACTGAGCAATTTATGGAACCTCCAAGTATATGGCCAACAACTACAAAATGAAAACCATTCACCAAGCTTAAGGATTGGACTCCATCAGTTACTTTACATATACATACAACCAAAAAAATCCATCCGTATATATAGTATATACTAAGAGTGTCGTGCCACTGCCATTTCTCTTCGGTTCAAACAAGAACGTTTGGGTTTCAACGTGACAGGAAAAGCAATTAAAGGGAAAGGGAAGCCACCTACCACTTTACAATCCTATAACCCTTAATCCATTGTGCTTGTGCCCTACCAATTAACAGCAAAGAATCAAGATATTCATAACACTTCGTTGCAACATTTACCAACTACTTGATCAAAAATCCATAGACAAACTTGCAGATTTTAAGCCAATAAGATCGAACTCAATCTCAAAGTAAAAGAGGCGGGTTGTAGATAAGCTCGACTTCCGGTAAAAATCTACGTCAATGAACAAGTCTCGAAATCAAAAAGCATGGCACCACTCAACTTCGAATAACTAAAACAAAGTGAGAATTATCGTAAAACAAAAGTAACTCCGAAATACCCTTAACAAAAAGCCGGAATCGTTAGCTTGTTAGAACAATTATACCGAGATGAAGAATCTTTGATCCTGGAATCGAAAGAAACCCGAAGGTTAAAAGAAATTATATAACAAGACAAAGTAAATGGATGAGGAAGATAAGAAAAACTACCCACGGTAGCCAGTAATCCGAGCGGAACAAAAATCGCTCTCCTGCAACGCCACTTGTCCTCCGATCCATGGCTGCCCAGCAATGGAGATTCCATTGATTACTCCCCAACTCCGCTCGATGAGGAGATGAGAGAATCGGAGTCAAGGTATTTTCCAATTTCCGTTTGCAAAAACGCAAAGAAACTTACAAAATATAATAAGTTTATTTTCTGACAAATTATCCATATAGTGAGATATATGTGTCAATTTTAAGATAGATTATTTGGCCAGAACGGTAAATATTAAAGTGACATCTGCACAATATAATTTTCCAATAAATAAAAGTGGTTGGTGTAATAATTATAAATTAATTCTAAAAATAAAATTAGATTTATAGTGCACCAAAGCATAGGTCAGCAGATTAAGGTATATGTATCAAACCATAAGGTTGAGAGTTTCAATCCTCACCCTTACATATTATACTAAGAAAAATTATACATTTAAAATTTTAATAATCAAAATAAAATAAGTATAAAATAAAATTCTAACATCATACAAATAAAAATTTGAATTTGTAATGTTATAATGTTTAAGAAAAATTATATCTACACTAATCTAAGTGGTCAACGGAGGATTAAGACACATATTTTCATCTAAAAATATCATATCCACTTTCACGTTTAAATAATTAAATCATTATTTTTTCTATCAAGACTTAGTTCCTTCTCGTGGGCCAAATAGCCGTTTAGTTGAAGGTTTAACAATAACGAACTTTCAATGATTAACTGAATAAGTAATTATAAGAGAGAGAAAAATAAGAAAGAGAGATGAAAAAATAGGAGAGGCAGAAAACCAGCATGTGTTGGCATGAAAAAATCCCGCCAATTTTAGCATGTTAATAATGTGTGTCCTTTCCCCGACAATAACTTTAACCCACCAACCAATCATGTACTTCCTACCCAAATTTATTTCCACCCTTAAAATCTTCTGATTGGGTCAAGATTTTAAATATTGGATATCGATGAAAATGTAAATGCATGAAAATGTTGGTGGTAATATCGACAAAAGTATTTTAAAAGTCAAAGTGAGCATAGTTCAGTGCTAATTGGCATATATCTTCAACCAAGAGGTTGTGAGTTCGATTTCTCATGCCCATGTTATATTAAAAAAAAAATTTAAAAATTATAAACATAAATAGATTGTAACAAATATTCAAATTAATAAATAAATATTTCATATTTTTAAATAGATTAATAAAATTATATTTATATTAGTAATACTTTGTTAATATTTTGTATGCATTTTTAATTTATTTTGTGATAATATAGAAATATCAATGTTGAATGTAGAAAAGTCGATGAAAATTTAATAGTAGATCAGTCCCAACTGCTTTTATTTATTTACTTTTCGTTATTTTTAGTTCACAAGAAAAAAAAACTAAAAGTTATTTGGGGAAATTGACCTCAACTTTCGTTACTTTTTTATTTTTATATTTTAGTACAGCTGTAGTTAATTGGGTAGCCAGTAGAGTCAAATCTCGTTTTAAATTGCAGTTAATTGGGTAGCCACTACAATATTTATTTAATGACCATTCAATTTTTATGGTTAAATTTTCAAAAGAAACATAGAGAGAACATCTAAAGTACAATAATAACCTTGTAGATGTTATTGTTGTATAGAGCGTATAAACATTTTAGAATTAGAAAATTTCCTTTAATTCAAAGAGGCATTGAGGTCATTCTGATATCACTTTTTGTCAAATTTGTTCCCATGAGCATTGCAAGATCACATCATAAGAAATCAGAATGTTACTTATTAATAAGAAAAATGAATTGCATCGATCAAACCTTGCAAGGTCGGTTCGGATGCCGGTTTTGGTTATAACCGAACCGAACCGCCCCGACCAACCGTCACTCCGACTCATCAGTTCATATCAGGTGTTTCAAAATATGTATAATCTTAATCAGTATTAACACATCCATGCTCAAATAGAGTGTACATATATATCCTGCAGACTCCCAATATTCTAACAGATGGAACACCAGAAACTAAGTTTTAAGTTTCTTTCTACAAAGAACAAGGCCTGGAATTGAAATATTACAAGTGCTAATTGCTCTTGCAAAGAATGCTTATCAGTATTCACATTTATATCCTACAATGGCACAAGAATGATTAAGAATGTGTTGGGAAATGAACACTCCAAATTTTATTATAAGATAAAAATCATATCAAAAAGTCTGAAGATAACAAACAATACACACCACATATTAGAGCCTTCTTTGGCGTAACAGGATGTATAACGTATGGTATAAAGTTCCACCTTATACACTGGATTCGTCGGGTTTGAATCAATACTATGCCCAACTAACTACAAAACTGTGATGGTACCAACAGATGAAAAAAAGAAAAGAGAAGAACATAAACTTATTACAGGTTTATGAAGTAGATAGATATGAACACAGTTTATGCAAGACAATTTAGAGCTTCAATTGTTGCAGAGCTCTCAAAAACCCAAATATACAGCATTGAAAATGAAAGCAAAGATGACAGGAATAGAACACTAAACTTGTATTAATTCAAGAGGTAGAAGGATCCATTAGGTTTTATGGTAATACATTGGGGATAAATCTGTCAACCATTGAAGTGGGTCAAACTATATATGTACAAAAATACACATGGGGAGAGGAAAGAATATTGGTAGACACATGCTAGCTCAACAACTTTGTATATGCAAGGGGTAATAAAGTAAAACTATGCAAATTTTGACAAGGACCTTCATAAGTTTCTTTACCTATGCAATGCCTATACTATCTCTCAACACAAAAAAAATCAAATTCTAAAAAAATCAATATCATATTGTTTGTATCATTCTCACATTTACCTATAAATGCATGTTCTTTTATGTCTGCCAGAACACATCTGGGTCATTGCTATACAATGAGAAGTCCTGAATTTCCTGATTTGCGACGTGCCAATCAACGAGTCGCGCTTGGATAATTTTGCAGAGAGCTAATCCAGCAGGAAGTATCCACCATTCACTTTCATCCCTGCGTTTCAACAATAACAAGCAAAAGTTTAAACGTCGAATGACTATACCAGCCAGGTACATTAGGCAATTGATTGGAGGCTACTCACATGCTAAAATTCCAGGTATGAAAGCTGGGATTCTTTTTACTCGAATGGTATAAATAATTAACTAACCCGCAACCGAAAGCAACTATCTGCATCAGACAAGTGACGAAAATGAATTAGGGTCTATATCAGATATCTCCAGTAACAATCAAGGAAAAATTGGAAATGCATCATTTATCAATCTGGAAATAAACGGAAACAGTTTCTTTCTTTTTTCTCGATAAGAAACGATTTTATTGATGTGTCAAATTATAAAAGGGTGAGGAGGTGATAACCCATTTGGTAACAGTTTTGTTTTTGGTTTTTTGTTTTTAAAAATCCTACATACTTTTTCTCAATTTCTTTTGAGTACAGCAATGCAGGGTGGGAGATTCAACCTTTGACCTCGTTGATGGTTAATAGGTGCATTTATCCAAACTTTCTCTCAATTTTTTTGCTGTGTTTTTCTTCGTTTTTACAAACACGTTTGAATTCTTAGTCAAATTTTAAAAACAAAAATAAGTTCTTAAAAACTACATTGGCTTAAATTTCAAAAATATTATTAGAACGTAGATAACATGTAAAAAAACACAAATAGTTGGAAGTAATATTTATAAGTTAAATTTTAAAAAACAAAATGGTTATCAAACATGACTTCTTTATGCCAATAAGATTGAGTCAAGAATTACTCACAACATTAATCATGGATGTGATGTTCCACAGACCATATACGTGTGCAAGACCTGCTGAGCGTCTAGGTCCATGGCTGAATAAAGCATTAATCCCAGCAGGAAAAGGAGAGAGCAGACCGAGAGGAAGGACAAACAAAACCAGAAAAAAATCGAGCAGCGAAATAGAATACATCTGTAACAAAGTGAGCAAGACCAAGCTAAAATCGCCTAATAGTATCATGGAGATTACCAAACCAACAAGATCCTGAGGGGAAAAAAAAGATGGAGACTGAAGTTACAATAGCGTTATCCAAAGGTATAACCAAATTTAAGCTTCAGTAGAATAACCACCTGATGGCCAACAGGTTTAGTATTGTAGATAATGAATGAGAGGGGGTAAGATATAGCCTTCTTCTCTTTAAGAGCTTTTAGGCTCTTGGTTTGTATAATTCCACCAAATATTCGTTTCTGGATCATCTTCTGCTCGGTGATTTTCAACTGGTCCAATGGCTTCCTACTCATAAGTCTAGGCAAACTGCATGTGTTGAGGGAACGAATTTCAATTTAACTGTTAACAAGTAGTGAGAAACCGAGGAAGTTAGATTCAATATTTTACCATGACTGTCTCTCAGGTAATGATAATTTACGCTGGCCTTCAGCATATGGCTGCACATTATCATTCTCTAAAGCAGATAACAATAAACCAAATTGGCAATATCCAGAAGCTGTGGGCTGAAACCAGGCAAGATCGACCCGCATACCATAGACGCTTAGAGTTGGATTAGCATGTGTTTCTAGCCAACCAATAACATTGCCAAAATTCTTCTTTAGGTGTCCATAACGAACTAAGCGTAGTTGAGCGTTAAGTCCAGCCACAAGCCGATACCATATTGTGGGCGGAATAGACTGAGAAGTCATTTTTAACATTAAAAACAATATTCATCCATCAGATAGTTAATAGAAGTTAATGTTCTCACAACTACAAGTCTAGGAAATTGCCAAACCTGACTCATTAGGGAAGTTAGAATATTGTCGCTATGGAGGGTGAAAGGAGCCATGTAACTTCCATCTCCCCCAAAAAGTACAGAGACTGGTAATCTTTGTTGAATACGAGGAGGAAGATCAACTCTCTTTTCATCTCCACCGAGGAAGAAATCCACATATGCAAGCATTAAATCAGGAGTAGCAGCAACCTGAAGTAACAAGTTATTCAAATTGTTGATTCTATTGAAATTAACAAAAGAACATTGTCTAGGTCTCCTTATTGTACATAAGTTTTTTGGGGCTTAGTAGCATGGATTATGTAAATGAAGAAAAAGGTATTTGCTGAACTTTCAAAGTAGATTCCTTTAGTACACCACTAAGATTCTTTTAGTAAATTGACATCATGTTCAAGATTGTATCTTCGATGGAGTTTTATGGAGGCTTCTTGATTCATATCAAGACTCTCTTGGTAAAGTCTGTGCACCACTATCCTATTTGCCTTGCAAACACTATCAATTCAGCTGTTGAACGATCCATGTCATTTAGTTGACCACAATGAAAATACTTTTTAAGAGTAGAGAGATCTCATTTAGTTGACCACATAGAGAGTATTACATAAAGCTTTCCTAGCAATTATCCTAATTCATATTTATCGATGTTGATGGTATAATGCTATAAGAAAAGTCAACAAATGAAGAAACTAAAAAATTAAAAAATAAACCTTGAGGCCTTCATAAAGAGCACGTGAACGGCAAGAACGCAAGCAAGAGTGATCATATTCAGATCGAACAAACTCACGAAGGCATTGCACTTTCTTTTTCTGGCAGTATTGTAGCCATGACCACGCAAGCGGATAGGAAAGAATAGAAAGAATGCTGTAGATTGATCCTTCCCACCACTGATAAGTAGCTAAATTATTAATCTCATCCACAAACCTATTAAATGCATCTTCATATCTGCCAAGTAACTCATGTTCTCAGAGGGGGTTCATCATACACTAGGTTACTTCAATAATACAAATTTCAGTAAAAAAAAGTTGAAATATAAAGCAGAAAAACAACCAGTCTTCTCTACAGAAATCTGAAAATGTCACCCAAATATCATTCTCCTACAACAGAAAAGTGAGAATGCTTACACAATTGCTGCTACTTGTTCAGGAGGCGAATGAGATAGGTGCAATGGTTCACTGAAAGTATTTGGGCCCATGAAATACATTCTATGCACATGACTTTTGGATTCCTCTGTCCTATTTGTTTCCAGAACCTGAAAAATATTATGTTTAAACAAACTAAAGATTTATACTTCCGTCGGGAAGGTATTCAAATGTTGGCAGTGACCTAAAAAAAATGATCACTGGTAATAGAAAAGAAAGAAGGCAGACCTCATTCAAGGACTCCAAGAAAGGGAAGGAGTAATCTATTCTAGAGCCTTGTCGTACAGGTACCGTGGCTGGTAATTCATCCCCACCAACATACTTCATACGTGCAACACTTAACACCAGGGCTAGAAGGATGAGGAGTCCAATAAGAATAAGACCAAATAACCAAGGACCTCCAAAAGCATACACCAACTCTTCTAGAGCTGTATAACATTGTGGCATGTGATATCTGTCGGAAATGCACTTGTAGGGACAAGGCCTTTCAGAAACACCACCTGTTGGAAGAATTCAAATTTTTCTTTTAATAAAAAGATAAAGCGTTGTGAAAAAATTTCTAGAAAATTCCTCACAAGAGAATAAAATTGGTAGATAAAGATAACTTCCCGATTGCAGGAGGCAATATTCAAAGGTAATCAATAAAAGTTACTGACATAAATGGCTTTCTTGAATGAATTCCATGATCCTCTGCCAGAAGAATGTATCAAACTTCTTGCAGATCGGTAGTATCAAACATGACTACATGAGATATCTCCCAAAGAATGGTTGTTCTTTTTTTCAAATTAGCCAATAATTATTATTTTCTCCACTGTTTCTCTTGGGTGTCGATAACTAAATATCTAAATATAAATCTTTTCTTATTGTGCAAAATTGAATGCCAAGTTGTAATAGTTGATTAAACTTATGATAGCTTATTTATCCTGTACTGAGATTATTAGTCCTATTTCCTTGCATATTTTCTTTATAATAATAGAATTTTGTTCCTTGGCCCCAAAATGTAAATAATTGTTCTTTTCTTTTCTTTTTTTATAAGAAACAGACACTATATATTCAAAAAGCCAAAGCGGCCAGAAGAGAACAACCTAAACAGAAACTAAATAATTGTTCATTAATGATGATCACAACAAGACCATACCTCGAACAGTAACATATATGCCACGACTAGGAAGCTCATTAGATGGGCACTTGGTACACAGGGCTCTATCAGATCCAGTGTCATTCTTAAATGTTCCAAGAGGGCACTCCTGCAGTCTCATTAGCAAAGAATGGATAAAATTAAGCTATATTACAGAAGTAAATTAGAGAAAACATAATTGCAAAATGATTTTTACATGAATTAAGTTGATTACGAGCAGAAAAGATTCCAAGAAAAATATTTAAAATGATCTCTTATATGCTTAAAATTAGTTTTTCTCGGGGACAAATTTAATTTCTTGATCTAACAAGAGCCAGTGAACTCTACTCAAGTTTAAATTTAACCGAAATTAAATTCTATTTCAAGATTCAATGCATAATATCATCTAGCATAAAAAGGCTTGTGTTGTATCACTTAAATATATAAAAGAAAGGGCTAATCTAATTCAATAAGACCCTTAAAGTGGCCATCAAATAATGAAAATTCTCCAATTCAAAAAATATTTTAGGACATTGGAACCAAATCCCCAATTTCAGAATGGCAATGAATGAAAAGGTTGGGGGTGAGGTGGGGGCAGGGGGCACCTATTTCTAAAGCCCAATGACACTACCTCACAAAAGATACCATACAGCCCTTTGGGGCAGGCCTTTCCAGTGATAGTGCCATTTTCGCCGTCGGAACCATGATAGCTTCCTAAGCCTCCCCTGACATAGAAGAGAAGAAAAACAGCTAAGCATTTTTTAATATGATGATCATCAAATAAAATGAAGAAATACCCTCCCTATCAACTAAGTAGGCTAATCATGTGATACTAAAACATACATACTTCAGAATAAACGTATGCTGGTAGCTAGTAGTAAATATTTCTTTTTTAAAGAAAAAGATCGATTGACAAGATGTCCATGTGCAAAGAAATGAGTATAACTAATCTCATCATGACTTATCTCAGCCACTTTTTCCTTGCAACGGCAAAATTATTTATTGATTTAGTGAGAAGTATATAAAAGTTGGTAATATGGGGGTCTCGGTCTTGGCAGTTTTAAACAAAGAAATGAAGCTGTTCTACATAAGTGGTTGTGGAGATTCACGAACGAAAAAACTGCATTTTGGAACAACTCTATTGCTAGCATCTATAGAGAGGATATGCTCGGATGGACAACCCTCCCCCCAAAAGAGAAAGCCCTAGGCCATCCCCCCAGAAGAGAAAGCCCTAGGAAGGCCATGGTTCGACATTGCAAAGTTGGGTGATTCTTTTCTAAGTTTTGTTCGCTTTAAGGCTGGGAATAGGCAAAGAATTCGTTTTTGGAAGGATTTATGGCTGAAAGATTCTGCCTTAGACCTTCTCTTCCCAGATCTGTTCAATTTGACCCTCAAGAAAGATGCAACAGTGGCTGAGTGTTGGGATGAAGCTCAATCAGATTGGAAGTTGAGTTTTTAGAAGGGGTTTTCGTGATACTGAAATGTATAGTTTGCTCTCTTTGATGGAATCGCTAGGTGCTTTTCAATTGGGCAGTGGGGATGACAAGATCCTGTGGACTCTCGATAACAAGAAGTCATTCTCCACCAAATCCTTGTTCCACAAACTTACTGAGTGCCCTCCAAAACTGAAGGTCCATTTGATCAAGCAGATTTGGAAGTTCAATTACCCAAAGAAGGTCAAAGTGTTCTTATGGAGCCTAGCCCAAAGAAGTATCAATACACATGAGATTGTCCAAAAAACCTCTCAAGTTGGTGCTTTTCTCCTTCGGTGTGCTGTTTTTGTTACAAGGATTCTGAAAACATGGACCATCTCTTCCCACACTGCCCGTTTGCCTCAGATTTGTTGTCCGTTTTGTTCAAAGAGTTCAGTTTTGTTGGATGTATGCCAAAGGCGATAGAAGACTGGCTTCTTGAGGCCCTTCAGGGCTTCTCCTAGCCAAGGTTCTTTGGGGATGTGCTGTCAAAGCCATTTTGTGGAGCTTATGGAAAGAAAGAAATAGTCGGGTTTTTAACAACCCCTCCCGTTCTTCTGATTCTTTTTGTAATTGTGTACAAATTACTGCTTCAACTTGGTGCTTAAACCACAAGGTTTTCTTTTGTAATTGCAGTCTTCTGATGCTTATACGCTATCGGAAAACTGTCGTTGATGTAGAGGGCCTTCCCATCCCCGGCCTATAGGCTGTTCTTTTTCCCATATATATACACCAATGTTTCTGATAAAAAAAACAACATATATAAAAGTTGGTAAAAATCCTAGGACCTCACCCAAAAAAAAAGAGAGAGAAAACTCTTCCAGCCTGAATTTATTACATATGGGGTATAACGTTGACTATATATACAAGTAGACTCCTCTACCACCTCCACCCATTCCTCTCAACCTCATCGAAGATTCTATGATTTCTTACCAATCACAATTCCAACATAATTGCTTTAGTTAGATTAGCCCATATGAAATTTTGGAAAGATGTTTGGCTCACTAATGAACCCCTCTGCAACTCCTTCCCTCTCCCTTTTGCTTTGCACAACAATAAATCGAGTGTTGGTAGTGATATTTGGTCTCCTAGTGATAGCTCTTGGGACAAAATTTTCGAAGGAATCTCAAGGAGACAAAGATTGTGGAGCTGGCCTCTCTCTTGCACAACTCTCCTCATCTCACCTCTCAACCAATAGGGATGTTGTAATTTGGAGATTGGAATCTCACACCCATTTCAGTACCTCCTCCCTTCTTAAAGACCTCCACCAATCAGCTACAACACTGGCATCCTCCTCTGTGTACAGCACTATTTGGAAGGACCACTAGCCCAAGAAGATTAAGTTTTTTCTTTGGAAATCCAGCCTCCACGCTATCAACACATAAGACAAGCTACAGAGAATAATGCCCTATCTGAATATTTCCCCTCACTGGTGTACCTTGTGCAAGTAACATGAAGAATCCATCGGGCACATCTTTGTCTCTTGTAATTTGGTCACTGGTTTATGGAACAAGCTTCTCTCTCTTTTTGGTTGGTCGGTTGCTCTACCAAAGGATATCTCTCAATTATTGGCTTATACTCTCACTGGTCATCGCTTCAAAAAGGAAAAACTTTGTCTTTGGCTCCATTTTGTCAGGGCGTTGCTATGGACTGTTTGGCTAGAACGAAACCATAGAATATTCCAAGGAAGGGAGCGCTCATCGCATCAACTTTTTGAATCTATAGTTGTCTTCGTTGTATCTTGGTGTAAATGCTCCCCTTTTTTCGACACTATGGTTTTGTAGCCCTCTTTTGAGTCTCTCCCCTTTTGTACTCATATTTCATATTATCAATGAAATAGTTTCTTTTCAAAAAAAAGATATTCCTCCGCTTCCTGAAGGAATCATTGCAAAAAATGCTCGGTACATTTCTCTTACAGTATTATGAATCACCCACTTGACACTCATTAGACCCAAAATCACTCCATTAGCTTCTCCTGTAACCACGATCAAGAATAGATGATTAAAGCTTCATTCCTTTTCTGATGTTTCCACCCCAGATCAGCATATTCCACAGGTCATTGAAGTGAGGTCCCACCTCACCAAATGGTCAAGTTTACCTTTATTCCTTCCATTCCCAAAAAGTGTCAAACATTTTCTCTATTCTCATTGTCAGCTAATTAGGAATTTGAGAGGACTGAGAAATTTTACATACACTATGAAGATAAACTGCACCGTTTTAACATGAAGAGTTGCTATTGTGTATAACATATAATTAATCCTAAGAATTTGAATCTGTCTAAAAGACTTGAGAAGAAAAAAAAAACAACCATCAAACTCTTTTTGAGAGAGCTGAATTCAGTGTAGAATTTTTTATTTTCAATAGTACACTTCATACTTATTGCTATTTCTAGTTCGTAATTTAGTTCCTTTTTTTTTTTTTTTTGTTAGAGTACACTCAAAGTTGTAGAATTATTTACTGAACTTTTTTTGTTACCATGTCACATGCGTTCATAAAACATGAGATGACAACTAAAGAACAATAAAGTATTAGAGGAAGAGAGAAATAATAGGCACAAACCCAGCATAAATGCTTCCTCTTGCACTTGCTATAGGTTGATATGCATCCCCAACAGGTATATCAGACCAATGAAAATGAACCCTCCCACCACCGCCGCCACCCCCACCATTTGAACTGCCTTGTCCTCCAACAGCAGAAATGACAGAAGATTCACCAAGCAATACCGTTTGCACGAATAAAAGAATTGTTCCACCAGATCCACCTCCTGGACCAATATTTAACATTTTCCCACCACCTTGCCCTCCAACATCACGTCCAAAGGTTTCTCCATCAGATGTAAGGGACCCATTAAGAGATAAACTCACTACTGAGTGCTCTAGTGACCCCATCACTGTACAAGCATGCAGAAAATGAAGTTTATTATCATCATGCACCAGAAAAATAAAATTTGAGAACAAATGCAGGTATCCCAAACAAACATTGGGGTTCTTTTTCTTTTCTTGAGGAAAGAGGTTCCACACCATAATCTATACGGCCGTTACTCAACCTACTGAACCCCAACCAACCCATGAAGAGCAGAATTAGTAGAAAAGTACAATATACACTTTGATTCCATTCAAGTCAGATTATAATTATTTATTAGTGGAGAGTTCTAACATTTTCACCACAAATAGATACAAATTACGAAGACAGTCCAACTAAAGCTCCTCATCAGTGTCCATTAGTGCTGCTAACCATTTTATTTAAGCACAAAATTTGAAGTAGATTATCTGCGAACTACCTAGAATCTCAACATGTCTCTAGAAGATAAAGAGATGGTCAGATCAAGCCTATAATAGAACAGGAACGCCATCTTGGAGGATAATTATGCTTACTATACAGCATAATCTGTAAATAACGAGACTTAACAATATGCAAGCATATGAAAATGCAAAGAAAAATTGTCACTGATGTCACAGATTGGAATTTCATTTCAAGTAAATATAACATTAAAATATAAATAACAAATTGCCAGAATTGCAATCTTACCTATAATCCCACCACCTGCTGTTTCACCAGCAAGACTACCATTTCCACTACCACTGCCAAGTTCACAAGGTAGATCAGGATCCCCGTATGCAACACCACCATCAATAAAAGTACCATTGTAATATCCATCCCCCCCTCTTCCACCATGTCCACCGCCTGCACCAAGACCATTTGAAAAAAATCTACCTCTACCCACTCCACCAGTGCAACCTGCACATAACCAAGTATAAAATAGGGTGAAAGACCAAAAATACATGCGATAGTAGAAAATTTTCTTTATCTATCACAAGTGTAACATGTTCAACCTCCAGTTGAGATGAAGCTGCAGGTATATAACAATTTTTCATAAATACTACTTGAACCCGCGTGGCAAGAACAGAATAATTTGAAGGCAAATGCATACCAAGACCAGAAGCACTGATTGCACCAGATTGGAAAACAAATATATCTCTGACCCAGTGAAAATGAATAACAGATCCAGTTATAGTGCCTTCAACTGTTAGATCTTCAACTCGACAAATCTGCAGAAATGAGTCAAGCTAACCAATATCAGATTAGACAAAGAAAAGTTTATTCGGTATAATGAACTATTTACTAATCTGACCAGGAAAATCTCAAAAATAATATTCTCCCACACAAGATAACTACTTAGCGGTCAATCTGGCTAATGGAACACCTGAAGAGTGAATGGCAATGTAGAGTTCACATTACAATCTTCAGGGGGATGTAGTAGTTCAACTGGGCAATCAGAAAGTTCACAGTAGAGCTCTGGTCTCCTGCAATTTATAGAAAAAATTAGGGAAAGAAAAATGAAATTACTGATCATTTTCATACATTAGAAAACTTACGTATTATTGGCACTTGAATCATCCAAAGGTCCTCGAAGAAATGACTTGGGCCCAACCTTAAAATTATTGAAGTAGGCATTCAACACATAGTTCAAACAAACAACAAATAAAAGGTCATGATTCTGACGTTTATGGTTTAAGTGAATCTAAACATAAAGGAAAATTAACCATAATTCAGCTCACATTGATACTGAAAAACAATGATAGTATCAAACGTTGTGCTTCAATAAGATTCCCTGGTCCAGAAAGATTCAAGTATCCTTGTCCATGAACGCCTAAATTTGCATTTGAATGTATAGAAGACGACTCCTACAAAGACAGGATAAAAGGGCATGATTCACTGCATGTGTTTTAGTCAATTAAGGAGTTTGCGAAGGATGAAATACCTTGAGAACCAACAAATTACTGGCTTCAAGCAGAGACGTAGCTACAATTTCACTGTCTCCACCGTTAATTAGCATCTTGGAATCCCACATTAAATGCATTTTCACAAACATGCGAAGGGCCCCAAATATCTGCATATCAGCAGGAACAATAATATGAATGACAAACATAACCCGGACTCCAGTATATGGAGAAAATGTGAAACTGTCAACCTATTTAAAATAGTAACGGGCAGAGGAAAAACATTTAAAACATTGAAATGTCTCAAATAAGAAGTAACTTTTATTTTAAAAAATTCTAAAAAAAACTTGTCTACGATCAGCCTTAAAAATAAAAAGAACTAAACATGGTCCAAGATAGAAAGTTTTTAGGATTACAATTACTCAAAAAGAATGTATGTAAATTCATAGTCACCAATTGCTTGTAAACCATAGTGATCGCTGATCAACAACAAAACATATGTTACAGATTCCCCACCCCGCCCCTCACCCAATAGGAGGATAACTGCCACAGATTTTAGAACTGGAAAATAGACATAGAATAGTTTGATTCTTGTCAAGGGTCCAAGATGGAGCGTCATGGCTACCCATACCACCACAAGTTAAAGGGGAAATAGAACTTCCTGAATCAGTATCAGTCCACTGTTAAAAATGTTAATTAAATATGGAAAGAACCATTGAGAAAGCCCAAGCAATGATAAAAGAAAAAATGGCTCAAATAGTAAAGTTTGACAGTAGGGAAACAAAATGCTCAGCTACTTGCCTTAACAACAGAATTACTCATAAGAAGCTCTTCTGCAATTAACTCAAACTCTGATGAAGCATAATGAGCAAGCCCAAAGGAAAGGACTGCACCAACTGATAAATGAATTTGTCCTTGAACCTACGAGAAGAGTCAGAAGCATTTCATTATACAAGTACATAATAGAAAGAAATGTTTTACAATCACAGCAGAGTAGAAAGGGATGTTTGATGAACTTGTCCTTGAATCAGGAGAGTAGGGATTTGGAGTTTAAGTCTGACAAGTATCTTATTAAATTTTATTGATATTGTACTTAAAAAAGTTTTCCTTAAGCACACCTAAGCTTACTTGCGTAGAATAAGAAATAACCATTGGTTGCATGGTAATATTTGCAAGCCTGTCTTAAAATAGCAAGATAGAAGAATTCTGCGGGAGAGGGAATTACATATCATCAAATATCCCTTTCCAGCCACAAAATATATCACAATTGGATTCTCTAACAAGGGCAAATATTGTCAATTAAACAACCACTAAATATAGAAGCTTAGCTGATAGGTTAGGGTACATTTGATGAGTTCATTTTTTACCTTGGTGATAAAGAAACAAAATGTCTAATTATTTGAATATGATTGTTCGTTAATCTTCCATTCTAGCAAGCATTTACCCTTCGCTTGGAAATTTGGCTTTCTAAAAAATGATAGGGTCTTCGACGATAAACCACACTCTTTTGATAGTTTTTTTGATAGAGTTTTACTATTAGCTCTTGGTTGGTGTAAATGCTTCTACTCTCCCTTTAACAACTACTCTCTTCACGATCTTATAACAAGTTGAAAGGTTTTCTTGTAATTGCCCTTGCGGCCATTTGTATATTTCATACCATCAATAAAATATTTGTTTCATATAAAAATTAAAAAAAAAAAAAAACATTTGGCAAAAGTAAAATTATACCCTGGTGGACACTTGAGTTCTTTTTCGTTATAAAATTTCTCCTTCTTGTTACCAAAAACTTTAAAATCAATAAGTGCAGGACAAGAAATAGCCTAGCAAGCGCAACCCATATGAGAACATAATTTAGAAAAGTAATACTACAAATAATCGTTCAAGGAAATACTGAAATTTGTAACCTGTACACGGCTCCAAAACAAAGGAACCAACGCCTTAGCATGGTTTTGAATATACACATTTGTCCAAAGTGGCTGCTTTGGAAATGTTAAAAGAAGTGTGTCCGTTTGAGTAGATAGGTTGCCATTGCTGACAATAAGGCTTCGTGGCACGGCATCATAATATGTTCCTGCAGCACCCGCATTTTCAGGACAGCCATAACTCCTCCCTCCTAAAAACAACACATAAAGCTCACAATATTAGATAAGATGCTTTCACATTCTTTTCCTTCCCTGAATTATGAAGATATCAGAGCAAGAACACAGTGACATTGGCAACACTCCGTAATGGGGAAGGAACAGTCGCTGAGGAATAAATCTAATAAAATTTTCAATTAACATGGCATAACCTCACCGTGAGCAAAGAATTCTGTATTGTCATGCCGGCTAAAAACATTGATGGAAATTCTTCCACCTCCACCTCCAGCAAATCCATTACCACCAATTGTACTTAACCTGCCACTTCCAGTCCTGCTCTTCACAGAGGAACTGTATTACCTGTGTGCTCCTAGATCACTTACAAATAATGATTTAGAACTAAGTGAAGTGCTCGAACCTATCTAATAAAGTGTCCGAAGAAACACATGAGAAAGCTTCTTGAGTTCAAACTATCAAGAAAATTGAAGTCCTTAAAATACAAGCCCAACCTACTACTACTCCCCAATCTTACAACTTTAAATATAAACACTATCCTAATATTTATTTCACAGTTCCGAGTCCTCATACCATAAAAATCATTCAAATGAGGCCCTCTCCTGTAAATAATGACATTTAAAAACCACTGATATTTATGTTTCATATCAAGTGGGCTTATTCTTCTGCAGAAACCATTTACAACCATTCGCCCAAGTATTTGCAATTCAGAAACTAGTGTTCTTTTCATTAGACATCCATGGAAAACCATGTTAATTCTAAACGACCCAAGCCACCCCGATGTCAAAATTAACAAAAAAACTCAGCATTACGTACTATATCTCCAATAATCAAAAGGAAATGCCCATAATATATATCACAAGCATTATATTCTCACTGTTCCCTTTTCCATCAAAAAACCATATCGGCATATTTTTACTTCTTACACGCCATTCCTACTCGAAGTAAAGAAGATTCTATCTCGATTGATAACATGGAGCAAAAGAGTGAAACAGAACCAGATGAAACTGAAGCTGCAAAAATATGTATATAGTGAAGGAAAAATATTAAGGGGCAAGTAAGAACCGAGAAACGAGAGAGGAGAGAGTTACATTCTGCGGGCATTGATGTAAATGCTGCCACCAGAACCGCCGCCGCCCTTCATACCGCCATCACCTCCATCCGCATAAAGCCCACCACTAACTTCAATTGGACCTTTAATTTCAAGCCAAATCCTCCCACCCCCTTCCCCCCCATAACTTTCTTCTTTAATAGTCGTTCCCCCTTTACTACCAAAACTCCATGGTTCATCCAACGAAGACCACGAGTACGTGTCCCCACCCCAAACATCATCTGGCAGTTTCGTATTATCCGACACACAGCTCGCTCCTCTGCCGCCGTGGCCGCCACCAGCCCCCTGAAAACCCGACGGAGTCCCACTGGTCTGCGTTGGAGGTTTTCCGGCCAACGCCGTCACATTAATCACAGAGCCATCAAACAAGCTAACGTTTCGAGCATCAACCCTTAAAGTTCCCGCAACTATCAGCGAGTTACGACCTAGAGTAAATTCCCGGCTCATATTTATCTGTATCGTGCAGCCCAGTACTGAACAACTTAAACTCACACCGGGGAGAATGTACAAACTCCCGCTTCCTTCAATATACACATCATCAGTGAAACTCAAGCTGGAATTGAGCTCGCATATGGTGTTGAGCGACCCGGTTCCCTTGAGATCATCCTCGCACGAAAGTGATGGAGGATGAGGGAACGGGGCCGGCGGAGGAGGCGAAGGAGGCGAATAATCTCCATTAAAGAGATCGCCATCATAACTGACGATCGAAAAATCAGTATCGGCATTAACTTCCACACAAATGCTAAGAGTGATGACGGTAATCAAGCTGATAAAGATAGCTTGGGAAGAACACAAAACGCTTTCAGCCATTTCTGAGACGAATTACTAGCTGCTAAAGTCGTGAAATCTAAATGGGGTTTTGTAAATTTACAAAACCCAGATTCCAAAAGAGAGAAAAGAAGCTCAACAGGCTGAATTTAGGAAAATTTACGTTGAAACGCTTTGATTAGAGAGAGTTCAGTGAAAATGAGACTATAGGAGTGGGATTTGAGTGGGAAGTTGAAAGTATAAAGGGGTGCGAATTGAAATTCGAGGAAGTTGAAGGAGTCTTGTGATGAATTTCGAAGTGAAATGAGAGGGGATGGAACAATGGCTGAGAAAGTGGAGAGCACAGAGGAAAAAGCAGACCCGATGCTCCGGTAGGAAGAGGAGGGAGACGACATGGCGCGTGCATCGCACGTGTGCAGATGTATTTTCCTGGCCGCTAATGTGTTGCTTTTGGGCTTTAATACTAAAGGGCCCGTAAAATAATTGCCTGATGGGCCTCTGCCCAGCCTGGAAAAGCCCATGAAAAATAAATATTGCAAAAAAAAAATCGTGAAAATAATAAACAAAATCTAAACTTTTAGCTACAAAAATGCACATTTAATTATAAATTTTCAAATTATTTGTTTTCAGAGCCATCTTCCCATCCTAATTTTTTTTCCTAGGGTTAGCAAAGATGCTTAGTTTCACTTTATTAGAGTGGTTGGTTGGTCTAATTTTATTATGTACTGGATGTTTATTATACTTTAATAAATAAATGGATGTTTATTATACTTTAATAAATAAATGTTGCGTTCATGCTCAAACACCAATAAAAAAATATATTAGCTTTCTCCATTGAATTCAACTTTCCTTCTCTAACAATTTATTATATTATATTATCTTTATTTTCTAAGGTGAGTGTTTATGTTGCTAACTAGAATATATATTGAGATGATTTTTAACATAATTTATTTAATTAGATATCCAATACTCATCATAGTGTTATATGTGTCAAACTCTCAACATATAAATGTTTAAATATTGTCCAACAAAGCAAAGATCAACATAACTCCAAAATAATGACCAAAGCTAACGAAAATATAACTTTACATTTGAAGAATAAAATACGATTGAAAGTCTTCAAACACATTTGTCCATAAAATACTAATAAATTATGAATAGAATTAGAAACAAGAGGAAAGAAGAATCCTATGAAACATTAAAGAGATATGATAACATAATTGGAGATGAGATGATAATATAGTTAATTAATTAAGATAGGTATTGCCTATTGGCATTAAATATATAATATACACGTTGCCTGTCAATTTTCCACCTTGCATTAA